CGACAGGAGGCCCGGGTGGCCCGGTCGGGGGCCCGGCGCCCCACGCCTCCCCCGGGCGCCCGGGAGGGCTGGAGGTGCGTGCACCCGCACAGTTGCGTCTGCGTTGCAAGTCGGTTTTCCTAGGGCCGCCTTTCTCTCACGGACGTTTTGTCTTTTTTTTCCCCCCCCCTCTCCACCTCAGAGTGCCATTAAGGGGAAATTGCAAGAATTAGGAGCTTATGTTGGTAAGTTCTGTTGCTTTTGTTAGCCTAATGCAATTTAGAGTTTGCAGCTATTTGAGTTTTAGTGAGTGCATTTTCCCCAACGTACTTTTTTTTGACTTTGAAGAAACCCCTTTTCTGCTATCAAATCTGACCATCCCTGGTTACTTCTCTTCCTTACCGTTTTATTTTTAATTGAAAGGTGTACATGCAACCGTGTGTGTGTGTGTGTGTGTGTGTGTGTGTGTTTTAACCCTCTTCTACTGTGGTGTTTTGAAATTGTTTAGCTTCCTCTGTGGAGGCATTGTTGTATTTTTATTGTTTTTCCTATTTTTTTTTTTTGCTCCTCCATTTTTTTTCACAATTATTTTGCATGTGGGATGTTTGATGTTCTGGCATTTGCCTCTGGTTCAGTGAGTTTTATTATCAGGTCTCATTTATTTTTATTTTTTCTGTTCCTTTCGCTTTTACCTCCTAACAGCATTGTATCCTCTTTGTTCTTTTGTGATTTTTATAACTTGAGCATTTACTTTGGGCCAGGCACTGTGCTTAACCTCTGTGTATGTGCATTAGGCCATGGTAATCCTCAGGAGGACACTGGCAGGTAAGTGGTAATATCCCCAACTGTACAGGCAAGGAAATTGAGGCTTGGAGTGCTTACTTGAGCAAGATTGAGACCTGGGTCTGTTTGGCTGCAAAGCTGGTGCCTCCTGTACAAATAATAGCTATCACTTATGAAAGTGGTTCTCAAGGTGTGGAAGACTCCAAGGGTCTCTGAAGTCAAAATTGTTTTTATATTAATACTGACATTTGGATTGTGCAAAAGCAATAGTGGGCAAAACCTCTGGTACTTGACCCTGAATCAAGAAATCAAGGTCTCACACCAAACTTTAGGGGAAACCATCATATTCTTTACTTGCAATTCTCTACTTGCAATTTTAAAAAAAGCCCTTTCTCCCTAGCCAGTTTTGCTCAGTGGATAGAGCTTCGGCCTGTGGACTGAAGGGTCCCGGGTTCGATTCCGGTCAAGGGCATGTACCTGGGTTGCGGGCACATCCCCAGTGGGGGCTGTGCAGGAGGCAGCTGATCAATGTTTCTCTCTCATCGATGTTTCTAACTATCCCTCTCCCTTCCTCTCTGTAAAAAGTCAATAAAAAAATATAAAAAAGCCCTCTTCACTTAATGTAATTGATGAAGCAGTAAAAATATATTTTTAAAATCCTGGCCCTTGATTACATTATTTAATATGCAGTGAGGAAGAAGGAAATACTTATAAATATCTGCTTAAAAGTACTGTACAAACATACAAAGTATTTCTGGTGTACGCTGAAGCATGATGGGTTGTCTTAAAAAAAAAGGATTTGTGTAATTGAGTTGAGAACTGAACTAGCCACCTTTTTCATGGAGCATCATTTTTAAATTATAACGACTGACAAGCTAGTCACATACACGTGGGTAGTTGCCAAGACATTTCCTTGAAAGTGAGCAGTGGAAAAGAACTGATTTTGCTGCCAATGACAAAACAAAAGTTGGTTTGAGGGGGCGGGGCAGGGCATGCAGGAGGCAGCGGATTAATGTTCTCTTCATTGATTTTTTTTTTAAAATATATTTTATTGATTTTCCACAGAGAGGAAGGGAGAGAGACAGAGAGCTAGAAACATCGATGAGAGAGAAACATCGATCAGCTGCCTCCTGCACATCTCCTACTGGGGATGTGCCTGCAACCCAGGCACATGTCCTTGACCGGAATCGAACCCAGGACCCCCCAGTCCGCAAGCCGACACTCCATCCACTGAGCCAAACCGGCTTCGGCTCTTCATTGATGTTTTTATCTCTTTGTCCCTCTTGCTTTCTCTCTGAAAATCAGTAAAAAATATTTTTTTAAAAAAGGCTAGGATGGATTAATGGATTTTCATGTAACAGTACAAAAAAAGGTTATTGATATAGTTTTTGTTTGTATATTGCTACTAACCCTTAAGAAACTATCACTTGTTGAATTTTGGTGTGGTATTGCAAAATAATATTCACATTATCTGCAAAGGCTATTAAAATACTCGTTTTTCAAACTACACATGTGAAAGACCAAATTTTCTTCACATTCTTCAATTATAACAACATATTACAACAGGTGAAATGCAGAAACAGAAATTAGAATCCAGCTGTCTTTTAAACCAGATGTTAAAGAGGGTAATAAAAATGTAACTTATTTTGTCCTAACCGGTTTGGCTCAGTGGATAGAGTGTCGGCCTGCGGACTGAAAGGTCCCAGGTTCGATTCCGGTCAAGGGCATGTACCTTGGTTGTGGGCACATCACCAGTAGGAGGTGTGCAGGAGGCAGCTGATCGATGTTTCTCTCTCATCGATGCTTCTAACTCTCTATCCCTCTCCCTTCCTCTCTGTAAAAATGAATAAAATATATTTTAAAAATATATAACTTAGTTTATATTTTTGTACTAATTTTTTTGTTTTGGAATTTTTAAAAATAAAAACATCTGTTTATTTAAGTGGATTTATTGTTAACAGTAGATAGGTCTATTTTAAATGAATTAATGCTGCTTAAAATTTTAAATTTTAATTTTTAGTATAGTAAATGTCAATAGATATACTCACATAGATGAAACTTCTTTTGGGGTCATCAGTAGTTTTTAAGAGTGTAAGGGGGCCTGAGATCAGATAGTTGGAGGATTGCTAATTTACTACATGCTGGGCACATTTCATAAATTATCTGTTGTTGGGACTTCAACAGATAAGAAAATGAGGCTTAAAGGTTAAAGATGAAGCTGAACCAGGATTTATTTATTTTATTCATTCATCACTTGATGGATGCCAGTTATATGCCAGGAACATGTTTTGGGTTAAAAAGTCCACAAAAAATGTACATTGAGAACTTTTTTAAAAATTAATTTTATTGATTTTAGAGAGGGGGAGAGAGAGCAAGAGAGAGGAAGAAACATTGACCCATTGTTCTACCCATCTTCGCATTCATTGGTAGTTCTTGTATGTGCCTTGACCTGTGATCAAACCTGAAAGCTTGGTGTATTGGATGACGCTCTAACCAACTAGCTCCCCAGCTATGCATCCAGGGCCTGAGAACTTTCTTAATTCTAGCATATGAAAGCACAGGCATGTTAACAGTCTTATTGGTGATCCCTATCATTTATGAAAAGTCTCAAACCAAGAATTTTGACCTTATTAAAAACCTCACAAGCTTGGGCAAAGTTCAGTATAAAATGTAATTGTAGTAAAAATTCCATGTATTTTATTTATAGCTTTCAAAATGTATTTATATAGCTCCATTTATTTTAAACATAATGCTGGAGTGGGATGGCAGGTAGTATTACTCCTTTTACAAGTAAAGAAATAGAGTCTTGACTTCATAATAGGAACTTGGTGAGCTACTGAACAGGTAGTAGTTACTCCTGTATGCTCCACTATAACTCCACTGAAATAAATCTGTCTTGGCAACTAACATAATACAGCTTCTCAATTTGTTTGTTTCTGCTTGACAGGAAGTTTCTTCGAGGGTAGAGACTTCATATTTGTTTTGTCTCAGTGGCCTACAGAGAACCTGATTTTTTCATAAGTGTTGAAGTGGGTAAACGCGTCACCATGAGGTTCTATTTGAGATAAAAATGCATTGCTTGTTTACAATTAGCTACCAAATTATTTGTGCATTATTATTCTTCTGAAAAGGGTGACTTTAGAATCCCTTTCTTTGTGCTGGAGAAAGTTCTGGAAACCTCTCAGGTTATTGAAATGATCCTTTAATAAATATTTGACAGAATAGTCATGGGGGTGTCACCACAGCTTAGGGAATATAGTCAATAATCCTATCTAATAATATACAAAGATTCAAATTGACCGTACCTTCGTTACGCCCGCCATCGGCTAATCTGCAAATTACAGCCAACAAAGATGGCGGTTAATTTGCATACGTAGGCGTGAAGTGGCAGAGCGAAGACTAAAGGCGGCTCCAGCCGGAGCAGCGAGGGCTTGAAGGCGGCTCCGGCTGGAGCGAAGGCCTGGGTGCTGGGTGCCGGAGGAAAACAGGTTCTGGCAGCCAGGGGAAGGGAAGACCTATTGCACGAATCTTTTCGTGCAACAGGCCTCTAGTATTATAATAACTATATATGGTGTCAGATGGGTACTAAATTTATTGGAGTGATCACTCTTAAGTTATATAAATGTCTAATCATGGGGTTGTAAACCGGAAATTACCATTTAAAAATAAAAAGTACTTTAAAAAGTAAACATTTGACTACGTATTTTCAAGGCATTGGGCAGGATGCAAAGGTGAATGGCCCTTTTGGTTAAGAATGATATGGTCTCATTTGACTGTTTAAAATGGAGCATGTCAGTGAGACCACAACTATAATTTAAAACAGTATTTCATTCACATTTTAAAGATATGAGCTTACAGAAACCTTCAGAATTTTTAGTTTTTTATTCAGTATGTAGATTTCAAATAAACTTGCGAAATTCTGTAAAAATGTATCATGAACACATTAATTTTTCATTATTTTCTTGTATCTAAGAAAACTATAAATTTCTAATAGCTATGTTAAGCTGTAGTTGCTATATATTAAACTGCGCATCTGTACAGTTGGGTAAGTCATAGCATATGTGCACCATAATCAAGCGAATGAGTATATCCATCACTCCCAAAAGTTCTTGGGGCAGCTCTGTATCTTTCCCTCCCCTTTTCCCTGCTCACACCCTGTATTCACCCAGGCAACTACCTATTACATTTCTATAAAATTTTAGAAAATGCAATGTCACATTGTGACAGAAAGCACAGTCTACTCGTTTTCATCACTGACATGAGGGAGAGAAACTGCCAAAGCATTCCAGTTTCTTTACCTTTCCTGGGTTACCAGTGGCAGTGCATAGTAGGTACACTTCGTATAAATAAGCTACCAGGGTTATTTACTAAAATTTTGAGAAAGCAGTGGGGGCCTTTTGTTACTCTACAAAGAAAATAATAAATGACTGGCTACTTGTCCTTGTATATCCTCAGATGTTGTATGATTCCAACAAACCTGATTTCGCTCCATTTGTAGATTGGGCTTTCTCAATATAGTTGTGCTTTTCTTGAACTGGATTTTTTATATTTCTCCTTTTAACAAATGTCTGATAGTACTTCTGAAAGGAACCTTTCTGCCTACATAGAAATATTATGAGTATTTAAGGTATTAAATAATTATTTTTGGTAGGGATTAGAGTTCCTGATAAATTACTTACTTCCGTACCTACTCATTATGGTGGTTTTTGTTTTTGTTGATTTTGATCCTTGATCTCACCCTCATAATCACTGTGTAGGAGGGTATTAGTATAAAACAATGAGTTGAAATTATTTAATCTTAAGATGGAATTTTAAAATGATGTAGGGTTTTTTAGTGGTTTTAGTTCATTTGATGTTGCTGCATGGTTGTTACCCTGAGTAATTGAAACCTGACTTTACTAAGGATAAAGGTGTCCTCTTGAGAAATGAGTGTCATTTTAAAACAGACACTAAACTAAACAAAACTCAGTTTGGTGGATATCCATATGCTTTCTGGAAACTTCTCTGAAATTATCATTTTTAAAACGATGGAAATGTATGTACTCAAAGTTGATACTGTAACTTAAAATATCTAGTTTTGTAAGTATTCATTATTCCAAATCCCATCCTTCTAGTAATTGAAATACCTATAGAATGAAGAGAAAAAAAGCTATACCTTTTTTTTAAACATAATTCCTTTAGAGCTGAAATATTCTTAGAGCTACATCTATATTTTCAAGCATGTCAACTTTAAATAGAGGGAGACATAAAAAAGTTTTTATATACTTTTCCTTTTAAATAGATGAAGAACTTCCTGATTACATTATGGTGATGGTGGCCAACAAGAAAAGTCAGGACCAAATGACAGAGGACCTGTCCCTGTTTCTAGGGAACAACACAATTCGATTCACCGTATGGTATGTTTCTGAACACTTACCCCTTAGACCAGTGGTTCTCAACCTTCCTAATGCTGCGACCCTTTAATACAGTTCCTCATGTTGTGGTGACCCCCAACCATAAAATTATTTTCGTTGCTACTTCATAACTGTAATTTTGCTACTGTTATGAATTGTAATGTAAATATCTGATATGCAGGATGTATTTTCATTGTTACAAATTGAACATAGTTAAAGCATAGTGATTAGTCACAAAAACAATCTGTAATTATATATGTGTTTTCCGATGGTCTTAGGCGACCCCTGTGAAAGGGTCGTTCGACCCCCAAAGGGGTCGTGACCCACTGGTTGAGAACCGCTGCCTTAGACCAAAGTTTGGCACAAGCCAGAGTAGGTATTCTCTCTGAAAAGAGGCTCCCTACAGGAGAGTCAGATTCAGTGTGGAGAGGCAGGTTGTGAGCAATGAGCACAGCCGCCGGAGCCAGTTGCCAAGGTTGAATCCTGATCTGCCTCTTGCCTTGGTTTCTCCATTTGTAAAATGTGAATAGTAAATCACCTTTATAGGATCCTTGTGAAAGGGTTAAGTGAGCTAACACATGTAATGTGCTCACAGCTGTGTCTAGCCCGCGCAAGTACTTAGTATATGTTAACTGTAGTTACTGTGTTTCTCTTGTAAATGTCTACATCTTATTCCTTTCCTCTAGCCTAAACCAGCTGCAGGTGTTCTTTTGGACTGGGTTGACTTTCTAAATTGCTTTCTCTGAGTTAATTCTGAGGGGGCAAGGATTTTGACAGAATTTCAAATTAATTTTTTAAAAGTTTAGAACTTTTTGAAGTTTGGAATTTTAAGATAGGCAACTTGATGTTCAAATATAAGTCAACATAGTCTTCATTGTCCTTTTTCAAACCACATAGGCCTTTAGTTAAAACTACTGACTAGACAGCCGTGGGCAAACTACGGCCCGCGGGCCAGATCCGGCCTGTTTGAAATGATTAAAACTAAAAAAAAAAAAAGACCATACTCTTTTATATAATGATGTTTACTTTGAATTTATATTAGTTCACACAAACACTCCATCCATGCTTTTGTTCCGGCCCTCCGGTCCAGTTTAAGAACCCATTGTGGCCCTCGAGTCAAAAAGTTTGCCCACCCCTGGACTAGAAGCACAAGATTAAATTTTAAGAAGTCAGGTCAGGTTCTGGTACTGGGTTTGAGGTAAACTGAGAGTGATGATGTGGATGAGAATAGAGCAGGAAGTACTCATAAGGCTCCTCACACTGGAGACCACCAGTTACAGCACAAGTGGATGATGGAGCAGAAAGTGAGTGAGGAGAATGGCCTGCTTAATTTGAATGGCAAGAGACTGGGACAGGGAATACTCCTAAGTATAATACTAAGGAGGAATATGAAGAAGCTGGTTCACGTTCTGCCTTTAAACCAAAAGTTTGTTTTGAAGGTGATTTTGCCCCAGCAGGTAAATGAATGCTTTACAACTCTTTTGAAGCTTTCTTGAAATTCCACACAGAATTCTCTAGTTTGTATTACAGTTTTGAAGAACATGGAGTACAGTGGTTGATCCTCAAATGTTTTGGTACATAGTGTGTGTGACCTAACCCACTTGTTTACAGTTTGTCCCCAAAATGTACCCTCTCTACCTCCCAAAAAAGATAAACGTGTTTTGCCTGGGGAAATTACCATTATCATGAGTGTGTTTTTTAAAGTCTTCAGCAGTCCAGGTATTTGTTTCATGTACATTTTTATGACCTGACTTCTGGTTTAACTTTTGGATCACTTTAGTTTTGAGTCCCTCAAAATTAATATAGGAGATTGACCTAGTGGATTATTTCTCAGATAACTTGATGGAATGTGTTAAGACAGATTTCTTACATAAACATACTGCTAATTGAATTTGAATTTAAAATCAAATTAATTCAACTTTTTCACCTTGCCGTAAGTTCAGTTCTTTAACATGCACTGACGCAAGTGATAGTGTCTATCATTCGGCACTTTGCTTTCCTAAGTTAAATGTTCATTGACAAAGGTCCCAAATTATTCTTTGGGGCCCTGCAGTAGTTGTTTCCTAGGCAACAGTGGCATATGACTGGGTTCTGGGTGAAACATACTGAGCTATTTCTGGTGTTTCAGGAGGCATGGCTCTTAGAAGGATAATAAGGCCAATTTGCCATGTACATAACTACTAAAATAAAATAAGTTATAAGCAGGGTTATGGTCTGTGCTTGTTTACAGCATTCATTTTGTAAATAACAGATCAGTGAAATGTGATAGTATATTTTGAGATTAAGTTTTCTTACCTCAGAATTAAGGTTTTTCCCCCCAGAAACCATATGAGTAGATAAAACTAATTTAAATAATGCCTCAACAATTGTAATAGTAAGCTGTAGTACATGTGTGTGATATTTTATCTTTTACCGTCAGTTACCTTGCATCTTCGGTCCTTAGGAAACAAAATGCATCCTTTTAGATAAGACTGTGTGCTCAGATTATATTCTGGCACTTATTTTTGCAGAGGTTAGATGTTGAAAATAGTGATGAAAAAAATGATTTTTGATTGGCTCTTGTAGTATTCATGTAAAGCCTTTTTAAAATGTGAAACTTAATACCATTTATCTATTAAATACCATTTAATATCATTTATCAATATTTATCTGAAGATTGATTCCACAATGTCATCAAATTTAGAGTGGCAGTTGAAATAAAATCTTTCTTGATTAAAGGAAGCTTTAAATTTTTTTGTTTTTTTCTTTTAGGCTTCATGGTGTATTAGATAAACTTCGTTCTGTTACAACAGGTAAGATTCATAAAAAAGGGCTTTTTGGGGAATTTGCTATAGCATATGATTGCTTTCTTTCTAAGGGAAAGAACACATAAATTTGGAAACATTCATTTGAACATTTTTAGGAAGCATTTATTGTTATGAATTTAAGAGCAAAACATTTAATATAATTCAAAGATAATTTAAGGGAAGGGAACTATGCAATTTATCCTAAGGAAGTAATTATAGAAGTGAGCAACAGTTCAGTTTCAAGAATGTTTCAATATCTTATAATTGAAAATTACTTAAAAGTTCAATACATAATAGTAAATTATGTATGGAATAATATTGAGCCATTAAAAATGTTGTGTTGCCAAAACCGGTTTGGCTCAGTGGATAGAGCGTCGGCCTGCGGACTGAAAGGTCCCAGGTTCGATTCCGGTCAAGGGCATGTACCTGGGTTGCGGGCACATCCCCAGTAGGAGATGTGCAGGAGGCAGCTGATCGATGTCTCTCTCTCATCGATGTTTCTAGCTCTCTATCTCTCTCCCTTCCTCTCTGTAAAAAATCAATAAAATATATTTAAAAAAAAAAAAAAAAAAAAATGTTGTGAACACGTATAACTTTTAAATTGGTGTTGAACAAGGGGAAGGATCAAAGTAATAAAATAGTGTAAAAGGATTATGTTTTTCTTTCCAGACCCCTCTAGTCTAAAGTCTTCTGATACCAACATATTCGATAGTAACGTGCCTTCCAACAGGAGCAGCTTCAGTAGGGGCGATGAGAGAAGGCACGAAGCTGCAGTGCCACCCCTTGCAGTTTCTAGCACCAGACCTGAGAAAAGAGATTCCAGAGTTTCTTCAGGTTCACAGGAGCAGAAAGCCACTAATGTCAGGTAAGAGTTCTGTGTAGATCACCTGTGAACAGATGGGGGTATATGTGACATTTACATTAGTTTTCATATCTTTGAATTGCTTTTTTCAGAAAATTTTGGAAATAGTGAGGTAGGTGGTCATGAGCAATCTATCTATAATAATAAAAGCGTAATATGCTAATTAGACTAGACGTCCTTCCGGTCGACCTTCCAGATGAAGTCGGGTCTGCAAGGGAAGCCCAGGTCCCAGGTGCCTGCCAGTGGCCAGAGGGAAGCCTGGGTCCCAGGTGCCAGAGGGAAACCAGTGCCGGCAGCCTGGAGAAGGAAGGCCTACTCTTGCACGAATTTCGTGCATTGGGCCTCTAGTTTTTTAAATAAAATAAAGAGTGGATAAGACCAAAGTATGATTATCTTAAATATAGTAAATCAAAGTTTAAAACAAAAAAGCCATTTCAAAGTAGTTTCTAATGGGCTACATAAAGGGAATATTCATTCTTTTTCATTACAATTTAAGTAAATATTCTTTGACTATTTGAACATATTCTTCTAAATTGGTTGTAATATGAGTATGTGTTTAATAGGCAGAGTTATGATGATGGAGCTGCAACCCGATTAATGTCAACAGTGAAACCTCTGAGGGAGCCAGCACCCTCTGAAGATGTGATTGATATTAAGCCGGAACCAGACGACCTCATTGATGAAGACCTCAATTTTGTGCAGGAGAATCCCTTATCTCAGAAAAAACCCACAGTGACACTCACATATGGCTCTTCTCGCCCTTCTATTGAAATTTATCGACCACCTGCAAGTCGAACTGCAGATGGTGGTGTTCATTTAAACAGGTTGCAGTTTCAACAGCAGCAAAACAGTATTCATGCTGCCAAGCAGCTCGATATACAGAACAGCCGGGTATATGAAACAGGACGTTTGTGTGAGACAGAAGTGCTTAACAGCTTAGAAGAGACTTACAGTCCTTTTTTCAGAAACAACGCAGAAAAAATGAGTATTGAGGTTTGTATGTACTTGTGAATCTTGCCTTGTTAGGCTGAAAATTGGCAGTTCTTTATACTAAATAGTATGTGAAATAACTAGATACATACATATTGCAAGTTTATTTTAAACTGATTTCTGTGTGCTCAACGTAGTATACCAATAAGATTTTCCTCTCCATGACTGACTTCTACAAGTGTATATTACACCTTGTTTACTTTCCTGGGATGCCAACATGTGAGATAGTTTTAAAAATACCTTATAGTTTTGGTGGGATTTTAGGTCAATTTTAGATTTTTCATGTCATTTACTGGAAAAGAAGTAACCATTTTGTTAGTTTTCTCAACAGTGCTATTTGCTGCTGCATATAAATGAATGTAAAGTACTAGTTTTTGTTTTTGTTAAAGGTTGGCTATTAGGGATAATATTCACATTTTTATAAGAAACCAGAAATAGCCCATAAATTATTAACATGATTGGCTTTTTCTTAAAGAGAAAAAATTCTGTGGTAGAACTTTGTTATTTTCTGAGACTAGGTAAGCATGAATTTATCTGATTACAGGAAGAAAACTTTCGGAAGAGAAAGTTGCCTGTGGTAAGTTCAGTTGTTAAAGTAAAAAAGTTTAATCACGATGGAGAAGAGGAGGAGGAAGATGATGATTGTGGGTCCCGCACAGGAAGCATCTCCAGCAGTGTGTCAGTGCCTGCAAAGCCCGAAAGGAGGTACCTGAACATGTCTGTAACTTAATCTTGAATTGCTTGGTGGTGCCTTCTGTGTTTCTTGAAGAGGATATCATAAAAATAAAAATTTAATAGCATATAAGACTTTTCCATTGGTTTTTCAATAAACCATATTAATGAAAGAAAAACTGCTTAAAATTGGAGAAATTGCTGAGAATATTAAAAACTAATATGGGTGGGAAGTTGGTCAGATTCATTATTTTAAAAAGTTAGAAGGTTTCAGTCTACTTGGCATTTCCTAGAAACTACGGCTAGTCTGTTCAAAACCTAAGAGAAGGTCTTGGGCCGATGGCTCAGTTGGGTGGATTGTCCTATACACTAAAAAGGTTATGGCTTTGATTACTAGTCAGGCACGTATCTAGGTTGTGGGTTCGATCTCCGGTTAGGGTGCATGCGGGAGGCAACAGATTGATGTTTCTCTTCCCCACCCTCCACCCCTTCCTCTCTAAAATCAGTAAAAACATATCCTCAGGTGAGGATGTAAAAAAAAAACACAAAAAACTTAAGGCTGTAGTAAAGGCATAGTGGTTAGCACATAAAGAATTCAAATCTATAATTAAAATGTTTTCTTTTTTAGACCCTCACTTCCTCCTTCTAAACAAGCTAATAAGAATCTAATTTTGAAGGCTATATCTGAAGCTCAAGAATCTGTAACAAAAACAACTAACTATTCTACAGGTAATTTAAATGAATTATGTTTTCATTAAGTAAGAGATTTCTATAACTCTTGAGTAAGCTAGAAATGATGATCCCCAAGTTGTGGTGAAATAAAGAACCCTACCCAATGTCAAGACCAAGGTGCGGTTCAGTAGAATGGCTCTAAAAGGAGATTAGGCCAGTTTGAGAAACTTTCCCAACTGTCAGTGGAATTTATTTCTTTGAGCAACTGTCATGTCTTTTACTCCCTCTTTCCAGTGTGTGTGAAATAGATAATAAATATAGATTATTACATGTTTTAAAGCAAAGGAGATGAGTCAACTATAATTTGATCATACAAAAAGCTCATTCTGAAATGCAAACCATATCATGGATGTCATGTCATTAAATTCTGTACTCTGTGACCCACATGCTAGAGTTGGGTGTGAAATTTCATTCATAAGCTGTAATGATTACTCACTTTAAATTTTATTTTATTTTTGCTGCCTATTTGATGATTGTTTTAGAGCTGTTCTGCTTTTTCATATTTCTTTTGCTACCCCTTCCTAGAGTGAAGGAAACTATAAGCTTACTTTTGATCCTGATAGTCATCTGTCTCCCTGCTTCTCCTCTTTTAACCTCTAAACATGAAATTGAACAGATTTTGGCATATAGGGATAAGGATTCTCAGGCAAACTGAACAATTCTTTTATTTACACTCCCATTTTGTCACAATAGTGTTTAAAATGATGAGTGTAGAATTGTACTCATTTGTGAACTTGAAATTTTTTTGCTTTTATAATAGTTGGATATTGCCCAAGTTTTGTTTTGTTTTTTTCTTGAGAAATAGCATTGAAATTCTTTCTTTACCTAGTTTATCTAAATTACAATTTGAGGTTGTTAATGGGATCACAAAGTTGAACAGTGATGGCGAACCTATGACACGCGTGTCAGAGGTGACACGCGAACTCATTTTTTTGGTTGATTTTTCTTTGTTAAATGGCATTTAAATATATAAAATAAATATCAAAAGTATAAATCTTTGTTTTACTATGGTTGCAAATATCAAAAAATTTCTATATGTGACACGGCACCAGAGTTAAGTTAGGGTTTTTCAAAATGCTGACACGCCGAGCTCAAAAGGTTCGCATTCACTGAAGTAGAACCTAAATTCCATTTAGTTAAAATGAATATATATGTGCTTCAATGTATATATGGCATGTGGTTTAACCCCTAGAGTGCCAGGGAGCGTGATCGCGCTCCTCCTGTCTTTCGCCAAAAGTGCTGGGAGCGCTATCAAAGCTTCGAAATGGCGTCCAGTTCTAAGTCTGCTTTTATTAGTGATGATGATATTGCTAAATATGTCAGTGTAGTAAAGGTTTCCTTAAGTTTTTGAATATGTAACTTCATTTACTTGTGATTCATAATTTTTTTCCTAAACTGCTGTAAAATCAGCAAAAATGCCTTGGCAATTTTAGCATAGTTCCTAGGATATTGATTGGCACTCAAAGGGTTAAAAGGTGTAGCTGCCGTTTATACACATAGAGGTATTTAAGTCAAGTTATCTATCCCTTGAGAATATTGTAAGAAAAAATGAGGTGATATCTATGAACTGTTTAAAACTCCTCATGTTCTAAAGTAAAGGAGGCATTTATGTTTAATATGACTGTTGAGTTTGATGTATTACTACATTTGCATTTCCATCTTTTTTGCTTTTTATATAAAAGTCTCGCAGAAACAGACACTTCCAGTTGCTCCCAGAACTCGAACTTCTCAAGAAGAATTGCTGGCAGAAATGGTCCAGGGGCAAAGCAGGACCTCTAGAATAAGTCCTCCCATTAAAGAAGATGAAGCAAAAGGAGATAATGTAGAGAAAGGTCAAGGTAATAATTTAAACGATATTTCATCCTCTATTACACTTTTTTCATGAGGCATTAAATATTTTCCAGTGGGTGTTTATGAAATTTTATATTATGAGAAAAGTGCTCACTAGTCCAAAAATAGAATAAGAAGGGACCATGAGGAATCTATATTTATATATTTAAGAGTTTTAAAAACCTTTTTATCAGGGAAATTTTTAATGTTCTCAAAGGGGAAAGAATAGTGCAATGAATTTCCATAAACTCAGTCATCCAGCTTTAGTATTATCAATATTTTGCTGGTCTTTAGAATGTGCCAATTTAAAGATACATAGATATCTACATTAAAGCTTTCCTTCTTTTTGTTAATTCTACTCCTGTTCTCTTGAATTTAAAATCTTATCTTTAAATCTCCCTTTTCTGAGCATCCTCTCTGTCTCTGACCTACTAGATGCCTTATGTCTTAGTGGCCCTATTTTATCCCCTTGTGCCTGACAAGACTACAGTTAGCTTCCAGCTGATCTTTCTGTTTCCTTTCTCTTAGCTCCCATCCCCGACTCCTGCACAAACACTCTCCATCTAAAGTATCACTTAATGTGACTTCTTTGTCAGAGCATTTATAGTGTGTGAGTCCCGCACACATACCTCCCAGGGCATGGCCCAGAACTGATGCCATCAACTTGGCCTTTCAACAGCTTCCTTGTCTGGCCCCTGGGTCTGCCCTGCCCTTCCCCCATTGCTTTCCACTGTTTCTTTTGTCCCCATTAGGAAATATTCTAGTTTCTTCTTTTTCTATGATTTGAATTTTAAAATCCCACCAAAACTATATGCTCACCATGTTGTTTCTAACTTACACTTTGCTAAGACTAGAATGTGTTTATTATTCCTCTTCAGCTGTATCCTTGAAGTAGTTCCAGGTTCATCTCAGATTTACTTGTTTCATGAAGCTTTATGAGTTTATCCTATATTTGTTTCTTTGTTTTCTCTTTAAAAAAATCTTTGTATTGTACAATTTTCCATGTCAAGGTTATTTACAGTCCAATAAATGATGGACCTGAGCACAGGAAAACCCCAAGCCAGCCAGTAGGTAGTAACTGGGAAGTGTGAGTGGGCCAGTTTGTGAAGAGCAACTGGGTTTGAGCTTCAGTAGAAATAGGAAAGGCAGTAGATTGAATGAAGCCCATGATTTCATGATGATATTTTTAACTTTTTTTTACGATGATTATTTTAAGAAGTAGACCCTAATTCAGTGATGGCAAACCTATGACATGCGTGTTAGAGGTGATACGCGAACTCATTTTTTTGGTTGATTTTTCTTTGTTAAATGGCATTTAAATATATAAAATAAATATCAAAAATATAAATTTTTGTTTTAGTATGGTTGCAGATATCAAAAAATCTCTATATGTGACACGGCACCAGAGTGAAGTTAGGGTTTTTCAAAATGCTGACACGCCGAGCTCAAAAGGTTCGCCATCGCTCCCCTAATTGATCACTTTCTGGAAAATGATAGATTCTAAACCAAATAAATAATTGAGCATTTCTACTGTCTTTCCTTTAAGAATGGTGCCACTGGGTAGCAAAGTGGTACAGGAGTTAGCTCATATTTTTGTAAATACAGTTTTCTTGGAACCACCATGCTTATTCATTTATATATTGTCTCTGGCTGCTTTTGTTCTATAACCATAGAGTTGAATAGTTGCAACAGACTATGTAACCCACATAACCTAAAATAGAAGAACTTTGCCAACCCTTCATATAGATGACGGAAGCATCTTATGAAATCATTCTAGCTAATAAAGTGAAAACCAGCCATTTTGTACCTCCTGATGAAAGAATAAAATTCTACCTTGGTCTTGCCAGAGTGATCAAGTCTCTGATACAGCAGTCAGCTTGAAGGAAGTGCAGAGGCCAAAACATGTTGGCTGAGCTACCCCATGTGTGTATAGCAGGCAAAGTACAGTTTCTGGGGGTTAGATAGGTCAAAAAGCCAAGAATTCTAGATTAAAAGTCTTAAAAGACAAAATAAAATAAAGGTGGCAAAGTTAAGCTCTAGTGCAGTGGTTCTCAACCTTCTGGCCCTTTAAATACAGTTCCTCATGTTGTGACCCAACCATAAAATTATTTTCGTTGCTACTTCATAACTGTAATGTTGCTACTGTTATGAATCGTAATGTAAATATCTGATATGCAGGAAGGTCTTAGGCGACCCTTGTGAAAGGGTCGTTCGACCGCCAAAGGGGTCGCGACCCACAGGTTAAGAACCGCTGCTCTATTGTCTAGGGCTTGTGTGATAAAACCATAAACAAAACAGTATTACTATGAAAGGCAATAGTGATTACTTTTGGAGAGGACTGACTAGGATGGAGCTTGTAAGGGGGCTTCTGGGGTGGCTGACATAGCTACTTCCTTGACCTAGAAGACGGTTGTAAGGATGTCTTTGCCTTATGAAAATCATTGAGCTGTTACTTGTTTTGTGTGGTTTTCTATATCATTGTTTTGTTTTAAAGTGAGACAATAGAAGTAATATCAAGGACCTCTACTGATGGAGGACTATTACTACTCTTACTGGATTCTTACTGTGCTTTTAAAAAATATATATATTTTATTGATTTTTTTACAGAGAGGAAGGGAGAGGGATAGAGAGCTAGAAACATCGATGAAAGAGAACCATCGATGAGAGAGAAACATCAATGAGCCGCCTCCTGCACACTCCCTACTGGGGATGTGCCCGCAACCAAGGTACATGCCCTTGACTGGACTCGAACCTGGGACCCTTGAGTCCGCAGGCCGATGCTCCATCTACTGAGCCAAACCAGCTAGGGCATTACTGTGCATTTTTAAGCATGTGCAGCAAAAATTCACTCTTTTTGGGCAACTGATCCTGTGTCTAGTCCCACTGTTTGGCTTGGGTACACCCTACCATCTCCACCATTGTAACAACAGAATGGCACACATTGCTTCTGTGAAGTGACAGCCTTCAGATACATGGTGGCTTTTTGGCTATGCATACTCTTGATGGGTTTCATGAGTGTTCTTCAAATGAACATGAAGATTTGAACCTCTTGATTTGCAAGATTTTGTGAGATTTTCTGGTCAAGTGAATAGTGAGCAATTTTCAGAGGTCAGACGTCACTTCAGGATGCTTTTATTAGAATTATTGATGTAGTTGGACTAGTTTCTATCTTTTTATTTGTATTTGCTTGCTTTTGTTTTTCCTCCTCTTTTTCCTTTATTCATTAATTACTATTGTTATTGTTGATTATCCAGCTCTACTACCCCCCCCCCCACTAATTTAAATTTAACCCTTTGCACTCCGCTGTCCCCTCTCAGGGGACATCGGAATTCTAGCATATCACTCGGATGTCCCCTCTCAGGGGACATTGCAGTTTATTAGTGATTACGGGGAATTGAGTTATTTCAACGCAACTTTTTGAGACATGCATGTTTCCCTGAAGTTTTATCTTGAAATGGCACAAGAAATTAAATCAAAATATCGTAAAATTACTAAGATATATACAAGAAATGTCAGCGGGTTTTGTGTCGGATTAAACAATAAACTACATATTCCCGATGTGGGACAAAAAAAATGGGACTGCATTGTGTGTTCTAACAGGAAAACACCTGGTGGCAGGCGTCAAACCACTTATTACTGTCAAACATGCACTAATCAGCCTGCAATGCATATTGGGGAGTGTTACAAAACTTATCATACTGTACAAAATTATAAACAATAAAATATTGTTTTTTTTGCAAATATACATTCCTCGATGTCACCCAATTCATATAAGTCCAATATCATTATAATACGTTACTTGGGTCCCAAAATTATACTAAATAATACGAGGATCTGTAAATGCACGTTTCCGCCGCAAAGTAGCGTCGAGTAGCTGGTAGCCAATGTCCAGAATGGTTCGGAGTGCAAAGGGTTAAACATTCCATTTCTGTTCTTTTAGTGGTGAATTTTATCAAGCAAGTTTAATTGAATATTCCAAAAGTTAATATTCTGACCCTATTCTCAAATAGTAAACGAACTTTAGTATACCTTGGCACTAGTCTTTACCCTCCTGACTTATGTTTGGTCTTTTTAAAAATGCATAAATTGAGCACCATTATCTTATTTTACCCAGGCAATATTTGCTTAGATATACCGATGTTTATCATTTTTAATTTTCATATCTCTTGAATGTTATTTGGGGATCATTTTCTAATATTTTGAAGTATTTTTGAAGTATATTCTTTGTAAGTTTCTTTAGAACAGGTCTATTGGTGGTAAATTTCCCAAGAGCCTGTTTACCTATACACATTTTTTTTCTCTTTGTTCTTAGGCAGTAGTTTTGCTGGATACCCATATCTAGGTTAACAATAGTCATTTGCTCTTAGCACCTTGTATATCTTATTCCACTGTCTTCTGGCTTCCATTGTTGTTGAGTGGACATCTGTTATTCTAATTGTCTGTTGTTCCTTTGTAGGTGATCTGTCCTTTCTCTGGCTGCTTTCAAGATCTCTTTGTCTTTGATGTTCTACAGTTTCACTACGATGTGTCTAGGCGTGGGTTTCCTTTTATTTTTCCTATTTGGTATATGTTGTATAAAAATATTTAAAATAAAATATTTCACATTATCAAATAAATGTTCATCACAGAAAATTTGGTAAAACAAAACAAATCATTGTAATACCTGCTGATAAATTAGAAAATAATCAAATAGTATAGAGAAATTTAAAATAAAAAAATAACATTCCTGCCTTGGTCGGTGTTGCTCAGGGGTGGAGTGTTGGCCCACAGATCAAAGGATCTCGAGTTCAATTCCCAGTCTGGGGCATGTACCTGGGTTGCAGATTTGTTCCCTGGTCCCAGTTGGGGTACGTGTGAGAGGAAATCAGTTGATGTGTCTCTCACATCTCTGTTTCTCTCTCTCCCTCCACCCCTCCTCTCTCTTTCCCCATCCCTCCCTCCTTCCCACTCTCTCTAAAAAATGTAAAAAAAAAAAAAATTATATATATATATATATATATGTAAAAAATATCCTTGGATGAGGATTAACAAAAGCAAAAAAAGGCAACATTTCTTTTTCATTCTTCTTCATGCTGATCCTCCCTAGAGGCCACTGCTTTTGAACGATTGTTTTATGACTTTAATTTTCTCCATGTTTGTAATAATTTGCTTATACCAGTTCCTTAATTCACCAATTATAAGATGGTATCTTTTGATTTCTTTGTATATCAGGATCTAACTCACTTTTCCCTCTCTAAGCCCATACAGTCAAATCACTATTTTTAGTTATTTACTCGTTACTTTTGTAATGTTAGGAAGTATAACTAAATATCTATATTTTGTCTGATTAACTATATTTCAGTATGTTTTGACTCCCCAATTCCAGTACATTTTGACTCCCAAGAAATAAGGATATTTATGTTCTTTAATTCTTATATACTTTTTCTCCCATCTTTTAAACTTTCTCATCTCATGATTGCATTTACATTTTTTTCTGTTTCCTAGGTAACACTACCTTTTTTTTTTTTTTTTAAATATATCTTATTGATATTTAACAGAGAGGAAGGGAGAGGGACAGAGAGCCAGAAACACCGATGAGAGAGAAACATCGATCAGCCGCCTCCCGCACACCTCCCACTGAGGACGTGCCTGCAACCAAGGTACATGCCCCTGACCGGAATCGAACCTGGGACCTTTCAGTCCGCAGGCCGACGCTCTGTCCACTGAGCCAAACCAGCCAGGGCAACTACCTTTCTTTTTAGATTGCTCTAAAAATTGAGGACCAATAAGCATTTATATTCTTAAGACTATATAAATATTACTTATTACAGGGCCAAATTAAAATTTTATTCTACAGTTCTTTGTTTAGGGGTTCCCTAGAGTCATTTATTTTTCCCCCTTTTGGTAATTTTTTTGTTTTCCTTCGTTCTCCCCCCCCCCCCCTTTTTTGCATTGCCTGCCTGTATTATAGCCTAAAGATCTATCATTTTATACCATTAAACTTTGGGTTTTCCTTTTTTCTTAGGTACCTTTCTACTAAAGCAACTGTTCTCTTTTGCTCATCTGACTGGTTGCTCTCTAGGTCTGCCTCAAGGATATACCCGGATATATTTTCCTCTGGATTTCCTGGGTCCCACTTTGTCTTCTCAGTATATTCTATTTTGTCACTACATCGTGAAGAAACTTAAAAAGTATGGGAGATACATTTTCTGAGTGCTTAGAAATCTAAAGTGTTCAAAGGAGCATGTCTGAGATAGTGTTTCCTCTCCCTGAAATATGTTCTTTCAGATGTCCACATAGTTCGTTCAAAAGTCATCTCTGTGAGGCCTTCCCCAGCCCCACATTCCCTAACTCACCTTTCTAAGCTCTATTTTTCTCCATAGTACTTATTGCCACTTATATATTTTATATTTTCATAATTTAGATATTTTTACCCAGACTTAGGATTTTAAATATGTATCATCAACATAAACTATGTTATATATATATTTATTTTTAGTTATTGATTTTATAGAGAGTTGGTAGGGGTAGAGACATACATCAACTTTGTTGTTCCAATTACATATGCATTCATTGGTTGCTTCTTTTATGTGCCTGACTGGAGATTGAACCCTCAACCTTGGTGTATCGGGGTGATGCTCTAATCAACTGAGCTACCTGGCCAGGGCTAAACTATGTTATATTATGTATTTAAATGTGTTTTTATTTATTTCAGAGAGAGGAAGAGAGAGGAGAGAGAGAGACATCAATGATGAGAGAATCATTGATTGGCTGCTTTCTGCATGCCCCCTACTGGGTATTGAGCCTGACACCCAGGCATGTGCCCTAAGCGGGAATCAATCCAACTGTGACCTCCTGGTTCATAGGTCAACTCTCAACCACTGAGTCACACTAGCCGGGCTTAACAAATATGTTCTCCCTTCCCAACCAGACTATAAGCTCTTTTACTAGGGATTTGCGTTGGTTGTTCATATCTTTTACTGAGTACCCAGAACAGTGCATGGCATGTATAAGAGCTCAGGAAATATTTATGTCCCTCCTGCATTGCCTCCGACTTGAAGTTTTCCCAGGGTCTCATTTGGCTTTTCTGCTCTGCCCCATAGCCAGTATTTGTGTGTATATTTTCCATTTTCCAGAGGTGGTTGAAATCTTATCTGCTATGATCCCCTCTCTAAGCCCATCTTTAAATCAGTGATCTCTCTATTTTTTACCATACAATTTTTTATATACTAAAATAATTTCTCGGCGCTTACACTCAATATACGTATTTTATTTACATTTACACCCGCTATTAGTGTGTATGTTAGAACATGTAAAAAATAGAACTCTGAGAAGGATAGAGATGACAAATATTTCTACTGTGATAGAATTTCTGATACTTTCTTCCTACATTTTATTGGATAATCTTAGAAACCCAGTTTGGAATCCATTGCTGTATGTTGAAGACTTGTGCCCTTTAAGTTCCTTCCTTCCTTTTCATGGACTCTCCAGAGGAGAGGCTATAATCGTATATACTTGATCTATCATGTTGGACTAGAAGCACTTAGTTTTAGTATAGAGGAGGTTTATGTTAAGAGAAAACAAGGGAAATCCCCCTGTGTTCTGCCCACAGTCTTCCTCAGAGGTAAGCACTGCACCCAAACTAGTTTGGTGTGCTATCTGTAGTCTTCCTGGCTTTTAAAAAATGTATATACATGTTCACTTTCTGTATCAAGTAGAATTACATGTATATTTGTATGCATGCACATATATGTGTATATAAAATAGGAGTTATACCATGTGATTTCTCTAACGTTTTATTCCACTTAATGTATCATGAAGAGAAGTATAAGAGAGTGACTGTGACTGACTATATGGATTCAGGGAGCCTGATTGCTTAGGTGTTAATCCAGGCTCTGCCACTTACTAGCTGACATTAACCTTTCAGTGTTCCAGTTTCCTGAAAATATGTAAACTTTCTCTGCTGATAGATATTTACATTGGAATCTCTAGAAGGATCTTTGCTTACTTTGCATTCTGAAGTTGGTCTAGGCACAATGGGTGACAACAAGAAGCTTCAAATGGGCTTTTTTTAGCTACCTTGTTTCCCTGTGACTCATCTCTGCTTTTCTCATAGAAGTGTGTTTGCTACCTTCCAGTGAACCACCTGGTTTGCAGGTGGCACACAGCTCTTCCTAATGTGTGCTATAGGTGTCAGCCATAAGCTAGTGCTCTTAAAAAATTCTCTGTGAATCCAAAGCCTTGTAAATTTTGAAAATTATTTTCTATCCAAAGATTTTGAAGAATTAGGTTAATTTACAGATATAATAGAGAAATGAATAAAGGTTATTATATAAACTTAAGCATTTTTACTTTATTCTGTTATTGTGTTACTAGAGGCCCGGTGCATGAAAATTCGTGCACTCGGGGGAGGGGGAGGGTCTCAGCTCAGCCTGTGCCCTCTCAGGGGATGTCCACCTGCCAGCTTGCCTAAGCCACAGTCGGACATCCTTAGCGCTGCTGTGGAGGCGGGAGAGGCTCCCTCCACTGCCGCTGCACTGGCCAGCCATGAGCCAGCTTCTGGCTGAGCGGCACTTCCCCTATAGAAGCGCACTGACCACTGGGGGGCAGTTGCTGCGTTGAGCGTCTGCCCCCCGGTGGTCAGTACACATCATAGCAACTGGTCATTCCTGGTAGTTCTAGGGTCAATTTGCATATTACCCTTTTATTATATAGGATTGTGAACAATATCTAGCTGAGAAACCAAAGGCTACAATTATTTATAAGAATTACTCTTTTGCCCAGCCTGTGTGGCTCAGTGCTTGAATGTTGACCTATGAACCAGGAGGTCGGTTTGAGTCCCTGTCAGGGCAAGTGCCCGGGTTGTGGGCTCCATCCCCAGTAGGCATCATGCAGGAGGCAGCCAGTCAATGACTCATTCATCATTGATATTTCTCTCTCCTCCCTTCCTCTCTGAGATCAATAAAACTATATTAAAAACAAAAAAAGAATTATTCTTTTGGAGAGGCACTGGGTAGTCGTGTTCACCATCTTGTATCTTCATATTTTAAATTGGTGACACTCCCAAATTGACCTATAAATATAACTCAGTATTTTAAAATTCCTGCTTGTTTTTTGCAGAAATTGGCAAAATATTCCTAATATTGATATGGAGATGAAAAGGACCTAAATAGCCAAAACGATTGAAAAATAATAAAATCGAAGGACTTATATTTCCCAATTTCAAAACTGCCTACAGACTTACAGTAATTAAAACTGGTACTCTCATAAGGTATAATAAAGACCAATGGAATCAAATTGAGAATCCAGAAATGGACCAATACATTTATGATCAATTGGTTTTCAACAAGTATATCAAGACAATTCAGTGGGGGGAAAATTAATATTTTTCAACAGGTGATGTTGGACAGCTAGATATCCACATGCAAAAGAATGAAGTAGGGTCCTTCACTACTACATATATAAATTTTAACTTAAAATGGATCAAAGACCTAAATGTAAGAGCTAAAATTATAGAACTCTTGGGAGAAAAAATAGGTGTAAATTTATAAGTAAGCTTGGTTTAGTCAGGCAATGGTTTCTTAGATATGGCACCAAAAGTCAAAGAAACTAGATCAATTGGATTTGATCAAAGTTTAAAATTTTTGTGTTTCAAGAAAATAAAAAGACAACCCACAGAATGGAAGAAAACCACATATCTAATAATGTTTTAGCATCAAACCAAGGCAAAGTCTCTACTTCCCCTATCTTTAAATTTCTACCATTTCATATCAGTGCATTGAATTCCATTATCACCACATATTTTTAGAGAGATTTGTGTGTGATCATGAGTCCAATAACCCTCCCTGCCCTCTGCCTACAAAGGAAATGCTAGATACAGTCCTTTACCATTTTTAAGGGAAGAAACTGAAGATACTAGATTAAACACTAAATAATCCGAAGCTTAAAAACTATTATTTAATAGATGTCAGGACAAAATTATACTTAATTCACATTATATCCCAGAATAAAGTACTTAATGTTGTTATATTGCTTAATTTACATCCCAAACTTTCAGTGCTCCTTGTCATGAGGTTAATAGAAAAATTCTTTGTGTGTCATATGTCTGTTTTTAGCCAATCAGAAGCCAGAATTCTCTTGTATGTAATAATAGGGCTTATTGTTTGGAGAGGAGCTATAAGTAGGACTTTTGAGTTGTGACTACAGAAATATACAATCCTGTCTTTTTAGTTACAGGTTTAAAAATGTTATTCATTCTTAATGCTTCTTAAAGTAAAAGCCTTAATTACTACTTTTACTTTTGATGAAACAATTTAATGGGCTTCGAAGGAAAATATTTTAAAAATAGGAGGGAGAGAGAATTTTATGAATATGTCTTCAAGGTTTTCACCATCTTTACCGATTTTCGTCTCACCTGAGCCAATTGACTTAGGTTCTGTAACAAGTTCCTCTTGTTCACTGAATGAGCTAGACAATATTTCCCATCTTTTAAGGAAAATATCAACTGATATCAATGAAATTAAAGAAATGAAAACAGCAATGTTGACAGCGGAAGCAAATCTTTTTGATCTAAAAGTTAGAGTGTCACAGAATGAAGCAAAAATTTCATCTTTGGAGGTTAAAATGAATGAATATTCAACATCAACAGCTGAATGCGACAGAGAGTTCAAAGGTCTTCAAGAGGAAGTAGATTTTGAGTCACAGTCAAGGACTACTGATGTAAAAATAATTGGCTTCCTTAGCAACATTGAGAAAGGTAAATTCTTAATATGATAGCTTCTAGGTACCCATGGCGCTATATATTTTCCTGTAACCTGACTAGTTCTCATACAGAGGCAGCATGTCACAAAGAGCTTGAAAGTTTTTGTGGACCTTTAATGACAAAATTGGACCCTGCATGATTTAACTTAGAAGTCTAGAACTTAACCAGAATTCCGTCCTCTCTAGTGGATCTCTCTGAAATGATGTGCTGAAAAGATAGGTGAGCATAGAGAGATGAAGCAAACGTTGACATGAGAAAACGGTCCCTTTTTTTTGTATCTGTATGGGAATTTCTTGTTAAATGTAAGACCTGTTGTATTTTGATTGGAAGAGCATTTTTTTCCTGTAACCTAATCCGTGTCAGTTTCTCAGGCTGTCCTTCAGGAATGCTGGCTTGACCAAATGACTTCTGTCTTTCATTTTCAGGTCAGCTCCTTGGGATTTACTGTATTTTTACCATGATAATTTTGGAAGGAATTAACTTTTATTTTGGCACACCACTACAGGATAATGTAACTTATATTTTAAAAGAAAATAGCTGATATAATTTTGAATTGAGCATAGCTTTTACAGTTTAAAAACCCTTTTAATGAAAATGGTAGTTGGCAGTTGCATGTTTTCGCTGAGTGAGTAAAGGCTATCCTTGTGAAGCGGCCAGTAGTAGATACACTAAAAGTTAGCATGCAGGCACCTAATATTTCAGTGTGTGGAACCCTATCAATCACATCCCTTTGTACGCTGTACTGTGTGATGCTTTTGTCGCAAGTCTGCAAGCGAGTGAGGACCTATATAGGCTGTGCATTGGACAGGGAGGCTTGGAGAAAGAAGTGTGACAGCCTCGAAACCCTCAGAGTGCTTACCCTCCAATTGAAGATAGAGACAGTCAGTGCTGTGTGTGTGTTTTGCAGTGTAACTATGAGCCTGTTTCTAGCTGAGCATTTTCTGGGAAATCCAAGGGGTTATTTTCATGCTTTGGTAGGACCTGGACAGTAGAGCTGAGAATTTTACTTGTTCAGTGTTCTCTTTATATCCATCCAAGCCTGTAGTCAGTCTTTTGGGCACTCTCTAACCAGATAACTCTGGAGTGTTTTGTTTTGTAATTCCAGGGGTGGGTGGAGTGAGTCATAATGGAGAGCCAGGTGATGGAGGGAGATGCCTCTTATGTTGACCTTGCAGTTGGCAGTCGCCTGTCTCCCATGGTGCAAGCTGTGGGTCCTTGCAGCACCTCCCTTTGGCTTTTCTACCTTTTCACCTTTATCTCCGGTCCAGGAAAACCAGCCTCTAGAGGGAGAGCCAGGAATGTTGTACATTGCTGTTTTTGGTTTAATCCTGAGTACAGGTTTTTGTCTTACAGACCTTTGGTCTAAAAATATTAGTAAATTGTATTATTTAAACTTTTATTTTTAAGACTTTAAGAACCCAGAAAGATTATTTGGGGCTTAATTTCTGGGACATAAACATGCTGGTATTGTGTTTTAAGCTTAGTTAAGTTTTAAAATATATATTCTAGGAACTCAGCAGAGGCCGTTACTGTCCCGGCTGCAAATTGATCCAGTCATGGCAGAAACTCTGCAGATCAGTCCAGGTTGGTAATCATGTTAAGTTTTCAGTGTAATCGGGCATTTTTTAGTTGCTATTTTCATGACACTTCATTTAATGTGCCTTATATTTCTTAGATCCTGCCCTAAGGTGCTATATTTAGGTCTGTGAAAATATTTTAGGGGCAGGTGACAAGATCTGCATTTTCTTTATGTTTCATGTGTTTGTATTTTTCACCTCATTCAAAACCTTTCTTCCATTGCTGCCCTTTTACCTAGGACCCTGGAATTCGTTGGCTGCTCACTTCCCTGCTCTAGGGATGACTAGAGTCCCTACCCTACTCTCCTCTCTGCCCAACTTTTGCCAGGCCCTGAGCTGCTGTAGTTTCCCTGCCTTTTGAACCAGTTTTACTTCACTTTAGACTCTCATTGCCAGGGACACACCAAGGACTTGTGGTTGTTAGACCCACTGGAACTTAACCTTAAGTCTCTCCCACCCCAACACACGCCATGGCTACTTCAGGACTGGGGCTAGTGCCTTATTTATCTCTGTTGCCAGTGCCCTTGCCAGATGCATGTGGAATCCCTAATGTCTGCTGAAAAAATGATGGGAACCATTGACACCTGCAAACTTAAAATCAGAAGTCTTATTTTCTCCACTTCCTTCTGTCTCCCCCAAACCTGCTCTTCACTGGAAGCTCTGGTGCCTTGACTCTCTGCTTCTCTGCCCCTAACCAAATTTTCTTCCCCTGATCGGGACTCCACAGTCACCACCTGTATTACCTGACCTTGCCATGGCCTTTTGTGATTGTCTTCTCTGAGGGTTACATCCCACCCACATGCCAGCTCCTAACCTGCTGCTGAGCAGTTTGTTATCACCACACTCATGTCGCTTCAGTTTCTGCCTCTCTAATGGCTTCTCCCTTCTACCTATAAAAGGGGTTAGAAATTCTCCAGTCTTGATTTTCCACTTAACTCCCAACATTCCATCCTGCTTTCTACATAAGGGCATTTTCCTTCAAATGTTTGGTAGCTGAAGTCTGTGTATGTAGTATCCGCTTAACCCTCACACATTCGTTTTGTTTCCTTTAGTTTTTATATTTATCCATGGTGCCCATACAGTTTGAATCATCAAGTAGTTCTAGTAGGCTTATGAATGACTACATCCTTCGCTTACCTCCTATAATTTTTTAAATTGATTTTAGAGAGGGAAGTAAGGGTTGGGTGGTGGGGGGAGAAACATTGATGAGAAAGAGACATCGATCGGTTGCTTCCCATACACACCAGGACCAGGGATTGAACCCTAAACCTAGGTATGTGCCCTGACCGGGAATCAAACCCATGACCTTCCGGTACATGGGACAACGCTCCAACCAATGCCACACCAGCCAGGGCTCTATAATTTTTTTATTTTATTTCTGAGAGCCATTTTATTTGTGCATCTTTTTCCACCCCCCCCCCCCTTTTTTTTTCCATACTGGTTTTGTTTCATGTATGCAGTACTTTCTCTTATTTCTCTGAGGATATTGAGGGTAGTTTCTGACTTTTTTTTGGTCTTTTATCCAAGTTGTTTGTTTTGATCACTGTCTTTTGTGAGAGAGGTTTTCTTCAGATGTCTGCAGGCCCTTGGTAGGCTTAGATTTAAGAGTGGGCACTTAGGAAGCTGTTGGTGCTCTGGGTTAATTAGCTGGGGTGTGGGCTTTGGACCTCGCATAGGAACACAGATCTGCAGTGGAGTGTGATGTGTCTTGCTATCCTGGGGCACCCTGCTGTCGGTTTTTAGGCCTTTCCTGTAGGCTGGTCAGCTTCTCTAAAGAAAGACCTTTCAAGTAATGGACTGGCTGGGAGCCAAGTGGGAAAGGGAACTGGGGAAGGCACCTCAGCATGAATTACTACAGAATGTTTACCTTAACAAGCCCCTCCCTGGTTTCTGAATGGTGCTTCTTTCAACCTGGCTGGCATCCCTTGGTGCAGAGACCCCTCTGCTTTTAGCTCAAGAATCTATAAAGCGATACTTTCTCCAAGGGAGAAACTGGTCAGAAGTTATCAGGAAACCTGCTCTTAACAGTTTTAATAGTATGCATTTAGTTCATGTTGTAGCACCTTTCTGTCGGAGACCAGGGAGCTTCATCCATAGGTGTCTCCCATGGTGACTAGTGAGAAAGTGGATCTCCAGTTATTCCAGATGTCTTCAGTAGAGAGGTAGGGGAATAGAAACGAGAATTTAGGAAGAACTAACTGCTTGAAATGGACACTGGAGCCACATCTGTTCTGCCCACCCCTAGAATCCCAAGGTCCCCTATTTTCAACCGCTGGAGATCCATGCTGGTTGGCTTCCTTATTGGCTTCAGACTCAGCTTTTGAAGATCTACTAAATTGATTTTTCACTTCTGAAGTGTGGTTGTATCTCCTTTCACAGTCATTTTCTTGGTGGGTTAATTTTTTAAAAAATTAACCCTTTATTGATATTTTAGTGGCGTTTCAGGAGGAAACAGAACGCCTGGGTCAGACGCCTGTGTTCTTCACCCAGATGTCACTATTCTATCTGTCTGGTTCGCCTCGGCCTAGGCTGCTCACATTAGTCCTGCAGAGGCGACCAGTGGCTGTGTGGGTGCATAGCTCCTTTTTCAGTGTACACTTCCTAAACTGTAGCTTGCGACACTTGAATTCTGTTTTCTTCCATCTCTGATCCATTGGCTCCCAGGACTTTCCTGTCCTCCTACTAATTCCTTTATCACTCCTTTCCTCCTCTACTGCCCTTTAAAATGTTAACTTTACCCTGTGTCCTGCCCTCAGTGTTATTTTCATCTCCTATATTCTCCCAAGATGCAAAGTAGTAGAGCCTCTTTGCCTCAGAAAAGTGCAGGGTGGTGAGAAGGAATGCTGCCGCCCTCGGACTAACTTCTGGACTCTGCCTTTGCTGGCGTGAGGCCTCGGATCACCTGTGGTCTCGGGTCACTTGTGGTCTCTGACGTGCAGATCAGTGAGAAGACAGTAGCACTCCGTGTGTACACTTTATTAAACATTCTTATTTCACCTTCACTTTTGACTCTGCTTCTCTTATTTGTCTCCCCACCCCCAGTGGTCAGATCTGAATTTTCAATTTCTTCCTGAACATGTGAGAGCTCCACAACATTTCAAACTAAATAAACCTAAAACTGATATTTATCTTTGCCCTCTTTTATTTTTTATTAACATTTATCGGGGCAACATTGGTTAATAAAATTATACAGGAAAGGGCAAAAATAGGTTTACTGTTGTGAGTATGCGAAACACAGTTTATTCTTGTACTATTATTATTTTTTAAAATGTATTTTTATTGATTTCAGAGAGGAAGAGGGAGAGAGATAAAACATCAATGATGAGAGAGAATCATTGATTGGCTGCCTCCTGCACACCCGCTACTGGGGATTGAGCCCGAAACCCTGGGTATGTGCCCCTGACTGGAATCGAACCCAGGACCCTTCAGTCCACAGGCCAATGCTCTATTCACTGAACCAAAACAGCTAGGGCATTATTTATAAATTGTATAATTTTCCATACGAACATCTGTAAACTTCCTCTTGCCCACCCTTTGGAGGTTTCAAGTGTTCAGTTGTGTAATACATCATCCGTATATTGCATTGTGTGCCCATCACCCCAAGTCAGGTCTCTCCTTCCATCACCATTTATCCCCACCTTATCCTCTTCTACCTCTCCCCACCCTCCTTTCCTTCTGGTAACCACTATGCTTTTGTCTGTGCCTAGAGTTTTTATGTCTTGTTGGTTGGTTGGTTTCAGTTTTATATCCCACATATGCATGAAATCATGTGGTGGTTGACTTTTTCCATTTGACTTCACTTAGCATGATACTCATGTTGCAAGTGGCAGTATTTTATCTTTTCTATGTCTGAGGAGTAGTATTCCAGTGTATATATGTATCTCATCTTCTTTATCCAGTCATCTATCGAAGAACCCTCTAGTTGTTTCCATGTCTTGGCCACCTGCCTTTTCCCCCTTTTAAATTGGCTCTTTCTCCTGTCCTCTATTTCCTGCATCAAGTTCCTCTTCCTCCTCTCATTCGTACACCTGTCTTTACCAGTCTCCGCTGCACTGGCAGGGACGACAGGCATGCCTCCTACTTGGCATAGTAGGTGAAAATGCACCTGCCGTGAGCTGCTGGTGCTCATCGGAGGGTGTTAGACTAGGAAAAAGGGATGAGACTTTTAACTTGGAGCCTCAACATCACTCCTGGGCAATAGCCTCATAACTGAGATCTAGGACTCTAGTCCATCTTACCACTGTTCCTTTTTTCCTGAAAACAAGTTTAAACACGTGACCTCCCTACTTAGAAACCTCTCTGGGTTACTTACTACTTCTGGACCAGAATTTAAACTCCTTTATGCCTCAGCCTCTTCCTTGCCACTCATCTGCTTAGCCTACCACACACAGCCCTCCAGCATACCACATTTCTCATTGTCTCAAATCCCTGTGCTCCTAATGAGGAAAGCCCTGCCTTTCTCCATGCGGTGTCCTCTCTTCTCCAGCACTTTCCCTCCTAGTGTATTCCTGCTCATCCCTTTAGTACCTGTTGTACTTGTTCCTCCTCTGTAAGCCTTTCTTCTCCCAGTTGGAGGAGGTTCTGGACTCTTCCAACCTGCTTACACCCCTTTTAGGTCACTTTTTAGGGCATACGGTTCTGAAATATTTTTGTGTGTACCTAGCCCAGTTTTCTCAGCAGTTCACTTTTTTTCAGGGAATGAACATGAACGAATAGTCCGAATTTTGGTCTCTGTTATTTGCCTGTTAACTGTGGAGCTCATTAACTCGAGTCAGTTTACTGCATATTGATAGGTCAGCCATCTCCCCTAGGGCTTGGTGTATTTTATAAAGTGTTGGGCCTAAGATGATGTTGCCGATGATGTGAGCTCTACTTATTTGCATTGAAGGTCATTGTGTTCCTTGCTGTATTTTTTTAAATGTCTATTCATCTTAAAATTCTCTCTCATAGTGGTCTTTAAAATCGGGTGGAAATTATGACAGCTGAATTCTTATCATTAGGATGTGTTCATTTCACTAAGTGATACTGTGCAAAATGAACAAAACAGATTTTAGAACGCTTTTTACACAATCTTTGTATCATAATTCTAGGGAACATTAGGGCTCTTTATTCTCCATGTTTTTAGAAAGTATTGTATTTAAAAGTAAGTTCATATTGTTAGTATCCCATTAGATGCCTCATGTAAGAACCTTTTCATACTGTAGGCAAGGAGTGTTCTAGAATCCCTTGGTTATATGCTGGAAGAGGGAAAGAATGCTTCTTTGGAAAGATGTTTGACACAGAATTGCAGCCCTGTTCTGAGTAGAACCATTGTGATTTTCCTTTGAAAATAATTACAAATACAAATTAACAACTTGACATTCTTCTCACGTGTGTGATGTTGGGAATGAAGGTATATTCAAAAGTAAACATTTGTGGCCAATTTTTTTGGCTCAGATTACTATGACATGGAATCCCTGGTCTATGCAGACACAAGATCATTTATTCTGAAGAAGCCAAAGCTGTCTGAGGAAATAGTAGTGGCATCAAACCAAGAGTCGGGGATGAAGACCGCAGATACCCTTCGGGTACTTTCAGGACACCTTATGCAGACACGGTAGATGGTTTCTTTTTTTTGTGTAGCTAATTTGTGTTCATTAGATGGGCAGTGCAGGATAACTGTCAGTTTACACTTCCCTCCACCCCATCCTGGCGCTCAGTGTAGAGTGCTTTGACTCAATAGTTAGGCCACGTATATAGTAAGCCAAGATCAGGTTTCAAATATTCCAGTTCATCTTTCTTGTTCGGAAATCCATTATCCTGCAAAATAAGTCAGCGTATGATTTAATGTTAATAAGATTCTTTTCTTTATGTGCATCCAGGAAATGAGATTTTAAAGGCCAGGTGATCAAAATCAGGAAATCCCTCCAGAGTTAGCCAGTTGGATTGGGATGATCCTTCCCTTAGAAAATTAACTAAAAGTTCTAACAAACATACAGATAATAAAATTAGTGTAAATGTAGACTGCTGGCTATTGTGCTGTGTGCATGGATGCTGACTTCTCAGTTTATTTCCATGTGACCCTATGAGGATCAGATGGACGGTGGGGGTTAGGGTTGAGGAGAAATTGGCTTTAGCCCCAGGGGTGCTGGTGATGCTGCCACAGTGATGGGCCGCAGCCAGTGTGTGGTAGGTAGCAGGAATCCCACGGAGGCTGTACCTGCAAGTTCTTTAAAGTCTTTTTTTTTTTTTTAACTGAAGAAACCACAGCAAGTAAGGGAGTGATAGTTCTGCTAAAGAGCACGTTAGGAGGCTCAGCTTTATGTGTTCGTTTCCCTAATTCTATGGTATTTTCTATCTATCTGGCAGAGATCTTGTACAACCAGATAAACCTGCAAGTCCCAAGTTTATAGTGACGCTGGATGGTGTTCCCAGCCCCCCAGGATACATGTCAGATCAAGAGGAGGACATGTGCTTTGAAGGAATGAAACCTGTAAACCAAACTGCAGCCTCAAACCAGGGACTCAGAGGTCTCCTCCACCCACAGCAGTTGCAGTTGATGAGCAGGCAGCTTGATGACCCCAATGGTAGCTTTGCACACGGTGTGTTGAGAGCTCAGCCTTTCCCTCTTAGGGTGCTGGTATTGAGAAGGAAATCTTTGACATGTTTCTCTGTCTTGAATGAATACTGGTTGGAGGCCTTGCTTTTATTTATTCCTCAGTAGTGGCCTTTATTTTTTTCAGACAAAACAACCAGTTAAATTTGAGACTGTCTCTCCTGTGAATGTTGGCTGTTTTTAGGTGCTAACATGGTATTCAGCCGTGGAAGCCAAAAAATACCTTTTATTCATGTCAGAGAATGACCATCATTCTTAATTTCTGTTTACCTTTTTCTGAAAAAGAAACTGTACTGGCTACTTTCCTCTTTTACCAGCATTAGTCTCTTTTATAATTAACTTGCTAGAAAAATGAATTTGAATTTTGATGCTATTTCTCCTTCAGTGAAATTCTCTTGAGTGAAGTTTCTCACCTAGCAGTCAAAATAGTTCTTGGACGTTTAGAAAAGATCTTATGTTTAAATTAATATTTAAGCATAGTATTTAGAAGTCAGATCAACTCATTTCAGATAGTGACATGCTTTTAGGCAGATGAGCCTTTCTTATGGCTTTTCACTGGATACCAGTGGCAGGTACAGCTACTGATCATTTTCACTCAGGATAGAGAATAACCATGCTTTTCAGACCTCACATTCCTAGAAACACCTACTTTGACAGGGGAGGCAATTACTACATTTTTTAAAAATAGGTTTTTAATGATTTTAGAGAGAGAGGAAGGGAGAGAAAGATAGACAAACATCGATGAGAGAGAAACATCAACAGGCTGCCCCCTGCACAGTTCCCACTGGGGATTGAACCCGAAACCCAGGCATGTGCCTTGACTTGGAATTGAACCGCCGACCTCTTGGTGCATGGGTTGACATTTAACCATTGAACCACACCAGCCGGCCAATTACTGAATCTTAATGAACAGTATCAAAGAAAAAAATGGGTTTTGAAATTTTTCCAGAGTAAAATTTCTTTGCAGATATATGAAAATATATTAAATGCTTTTTTAGTAGCTAAAAAATATAAATTCCTTAGGGGGAGATATGAGTAAGTGAAGAGATATCGCTATTATCTTGAACTGAATGAGGCAATAATATAGTGTTATGGTTTTGATTGGTGGCAGAAGTTGAAAACAACCCTATTGAAAGGAGGAAAGGATTTAAAATGGAAACAAAGATGTTAAGAACTGCAAGTTGGGCACGGCATATTTCTTGACCTTATATATTTTGTCTAAAATAAGAGAAAATTCTGGTGCTTTTGCTACTTTGGTTTTCAATTTGGCAGCTTAAATTTTTATATGTTAGGGTCTAGTTCATTTAAATGTAGATGTCTGTTAGGCTTTATTGGAATGTATGTCATCGGCGACACTTATACCAGTGGCTATTATGGAGACAGCTGTGATGCGTGGTGAGCCTCTTTCACCATCACTTTGATCTGGGACTCTCGGTATATTACACTGAGAGACGCCTGAATAGCAGTCACAAAGAGGCTGGGGTCTCTCTTGCTCTCCCCCTCTGAGCAGGGAGTTTGAAACTTTGTAATTGCTTTTGGTGGCTTTTTGTCCAGTGTTTCCAGGATGCTACCGACAGCAGCAGCCGTTTGAAGTCACCCCCACTGGCCATTATATAGCAGTACAGATTTTATAGTTTGCAGCAAAAAGTGAATTTGTCTCTTAAAATGTAAACAGGAAAAGTTTTAATAGCTTATGAAGTAAATGTTAGGGAAAACCAGAGTCATGACCTTCGTATATATGGTTTAACATTTCTATCGGGAAGATACAGTTTCCTTGTGCAGTATTTAACCTCTTTAACATGCTTGTGAGTTGCCACTTATTCCACTTTGCAGCAGCCTGCGATGGGTATTCTGTTAACTTCTCATTTGGCCTGGGTTGCCACACAGATACCATAGTCTAAAACAGTGGTTCTCAACCTCCTGGCCCTTTAAATACAGTTCCTCATGTTGTGACCCAACCATAAAATTATTTTCGTTGCTACTTCATAACTAATGTTGCTACTGTTATGAATCGTAATGTAAATATCTGATAGGCAGGATGGTCTTAGGCGACCCCTGTGAAAGGGTTGTTCGACCGCCAAAGGGGTCACGACCCACAGGTTGAGAACCGCTGGTCTAAAGAATGTTCTTTAGGAGGAAGGTCAGACAGACACACATCTGTACAAGGCTGACACAAAAACATTTTAAATTTGGAGAAAATCCTCTGGCCCTACCAGATTTTACTTAAGACTAGGGATACTTTTTATCCTGGAGATAAATAATGACTTACTATTAAGTAGCCTGGAAAATTTATATGTCAGGCATAGTCGAAATAGCGCTGATGGTCTTCCTAACGGGTTCAGGACTGGCCGTGTGTGCCTTGTTTTCCTGTAATGAAGACGGAAGTCGGGTCACTGTAAAGTTTTGATTGTTACCTGTTTTTGCATTCTTGTTTTCATTTAATCATAAAATTAAGGAAGACATTATTTCCTCTGTGTACATGAGGAACCTGACATTCAGAGATGTTAGCACTTGCCCAGTGTCTACCTTCTCTGCTAGTAAGTTACAGAGCCAAATTTGAACAGCTCTGTAAGAGATGTAGTTCAAGTGATATCTGCTTTCACAAACATAAATATGAACAATAATAGGTAATACCCATGGTGCTATTGGGAGGGAGGGTTAGATGTGTTGGACCAGAAGTTGGTAGCTCATGATAGCTACCAGGTGTAACTTTATTTGGTTTATTCTGTTTTGAATTTGAATTAGTTGCCAGCATTTAAAATTTAAATGTCATGTAAAAAGGTTTTTGGCTTACCGAATCAGGAGACAGTCTGGCAACACGGTCCCACTTTCTGCAGTCACAATAATTGACATTGTAATTGGACAGAACCTGGTGAGTGGTATGGCAGTGAGTGTGCCATCCGTTGGTGTGTGCACTGGTCTCTTCCCCACCCGTTTGCTCCATGAGGAGCCTGACTGCCGTGGTGATCTTATATCCAGCCAGGCGCACTCTGTTAGGTAATCTGCTGGGCCCCTGTAGATACTGACATTTGTGACCCATTTTAGGCAAAAGTCTTTTCCTCACTTTGAAGACATTGCTGAATTTATCACTTGGACTTAGAAAACTAGGTATACCTCAGTGAGTTGGAATACTTTTGTATTGGGACCACTGGTGAACTTGCCTGAATGAGAATTCGTTCACATTTTTTATCAACTTGTGTTTTCAGTCTGCATTTCATTTTATTGGCTCTCTACTTGACATTCTTCCCTCTTTTATATTTGATCAGCTCTGAAGTACTTTTGAGAATTGGAGTTTTTTGTGAGAACTTTGGCCCTAGTTGCAGCATCACTGTTCACTTACTTCCACAATGCGAGCTAGTCTACTTCCTGGATCGTTTACAGGATTCTGTTACAGTGTTGGTCAGATTACTTTGACTCATTTATTTCATATGACTGTGGACATAGAAGATAACGATTTTAAGACTGGGTTTTGAGGGAAATTTATTAGAAGTGCCATGTACTGAATTGATCATAATTAATGTATACTTTTAATTCCTCTCCGTTTGTAGCTGAGATGAGTGAACTGAATGTGGCACAGAAGCCAGAAAAACTTTTGGAGCGCTGCAAGTACTGGCCTGCCTGCAAAAACGGGGATGAATGTGCTTACCACCACCCGATTTCACCTTGCAAGTGAGTAGCAGTGAACCAGTTCTGGTCTTCAGGTTAATTTCTATATCTGATCGCATATTTAGCTTTTTTTTTTTTTTAAGGCCAAGTTTGAGTTTTGTAACTAAATTAATTGACACTTACCAAGGTCCTGCCCTGAACAGCATATGTGTGTGTAGGGGGGGTGGGGGGGCAGGGGTATGTGTGGGTGTGGGTGTGGGTGTGTGTAGGTGTAAGGATGGGGAGATGGGAGGTGGTTTCTTTGTGCCTCAGACCTATGAGATACCGAAATTCTGGGTTTTATTCCGGATTCTGTACATTTAAGGAGGTGGGTATGTAATAACTATCCCTGTTGGTATGCATTGTGTTCATCCATACATACACAAATGTTAAGGCGTTGAGGAAAAACTATATAATAGGTAATGAGAAAATATTTTGGACTTGGGTATAATTTTTCCTAACCAGCTGGCTGTTTAAATGGAATGACCTTTGAGAGATGACTTTTACATTTTGTTTTTGTCCTATAGGTAGAATCTCTCCATGTTTTAATTTCAGGAGATTTTGATATGAGAATAACATGGATGTATAAATAGGGAGATCGTGGGACAAGTACTCTTTTTGGTAGCACAATCCCTTGTATAAATATTGTGCTCACTATAGTGTTTACTTCATAAAATATATAAACATAGACTTTAATAATTAAGTGGTGTGATTCTCATCACCAAAAACTCTTTTACCCTTCATGTGGTTTGGCTGGAGTTGAAAAACTGTTATTATCCCGGGCTTTGGAATAGATAGTTGTGTCCTGTTTTGATATATGGCTTCACTTAAAAATGGAGTTTCCTTCTCTTGTTACTTTTTGTTTCTGAAAACAAGTAGTGATGAATGAGTTTAAGGAGCCCCTCTACAAAAAAAACTAATGCATTCAGAAGATTAAATGTGAATAATCTGCTTTTTTTGTTGTTTTATAGGGCTTTCCCCAATTGTAAATTTGCTGAAAAATGTTTGTTTGTCCATCCAAATTGTAAATATGATGCAAAATGTACTAAGCCAGATTGTCCCTTCACTCATATGAATAGAAGAATTCCAATACTGCCTCCAAAACCAGGTTAGTGACTTTGTGCACTACTACTTTTGGGTAAAATAAAATTTAAAAAAATTAAAAATGACATTTTGTGAAAGGAATAGTTTTAAAATTGTAGCAGAATCAATTAAAGTAACGAGTCTCCACAGAGGAAGTGCATGCATACTATAGTATTCTTATGTATTTTTATCTTCACTAATGAATATATATGTCTCATCATAATATTTTAATTTTAAAATGGTTCCCATAAAAACATCAGACTGCATTAAAAATTATTTTGCCAAATAAATTTGATCAATGTTTGTCCTTATTTTTGTCAGCAGTTATAACAGCAACACCATCTTCTAGTAGTCAGCTCTGCCGTTACTTCCCTGCTTGTAAGAAAATGGAATGTCCCTTCTTTCATCCAAAAGTAAGAACTTTTTTCCCCCTTTATTGATTAAGGTATTACATGTGTCCTTATCCCCCTATTACCACCCCCCCCGCCCCCATTCATGCCCTCACCCCCCTGGTGTCTGTCCATTGGTTAGGTTTATATGCCTGCATACAAGTCCTTTGGTTTATCTCTCCCCTTTACCCCCACCCATTTTCCCAAAACTGAATTTAGTGATAACTTTTCAGTTGTGAGACCTGGAAGATCACTAGCAAATTGAGATTGAGTATCTTCCTCGCCTCCTTTAACTTATTTTTTGTTAGAGTTAAGTTGAAGGTCTTTAAGATCTTTAAGTTATTCCTTAGTGTCACTCAGCCCGTTTTTCTCTCTGGCCAAGTGGTGTGACACTACTGAATGTCAGTCTTCTAAGCTCTCAGGAGGGTAAAGCTCACCTTTGCTAGTCAGTTTCTGTTCTTCACTGCCCCTAAGCATGTCGGTGGTTTTTTCTTTGCCTAATGCCAGAACTGAGATGATGACATTAGTAGTCCAGCTTACTGCCATCCAGGCTTGTTCTGATGCTTTTGTCTGTGTACTAAAGACTGGTTGATGTGTCCTCAGCTGTTTCGTTGCTCAGAGTAGTGTCTCCTTTCTGAAATAGCAGCCTGAAGACCATACAGAAGGCCTTCACTTCCCTCAACTGCAGTTGGGCATAGCTGAGGGTGCTCAGTGAAGAATGTTAGGGTGTTAGGCAGGGCGTGCAGGGTGATTGTTAAACATTGATTAGAAGTAGTTGATTGTATGCTAAGGTTCTTTTTGAAATTTGGCTTGCTCTTATTCTGTGACTAGGATTGTGTGTGTGTGTGTGTGGTTATTTTTCATGGTTTCAGTAGTAATAAAATTAATGTTACAGACCATATTTCTTGCCCCATTGTTAGGGTGAGCTTGTTAGTGTCACTCTAATTGCCATTTTTGTCTGTATTAGCTTTGCATATGTTGAACCTGTTCTTATCTCCTTAGCACTGTAGATTTAACACTCAGTGTACAAGACCTGACTGCACGTTTTATCATCCCACCATTACTGTGCCGCCACGACATGCCTTGAAATGGATTCGGCCTCAAACCAGGTAAAGATGAAAATTAGTTTTCCTAATGGCATTTCAAATACAGTGGGGCCTTGACTTATGAGTGTCCCGACTAACGAGTTTTTCGAGATACGAGCCGTCTCTCTGCCGATTTTTGCTTTGAGTTGCGAGCTAAAATTTGAGTTACGAGCCAGCTTCAGATACCCCACCGCTAGTTGGCGCAGCGAACGTCACAGTGAACGCCACATCAGCCCAGCATCACGTGTCTCACTCGTTCACTTTTTGATTTGACATATGAGTAATTTGAGTTATGAACTCCGTCACAGAACGAATTAAACTCGTAAGTCAAGGCCCCACTGTACTTTTCTAATATGTAGTTTCTTAAATTTATAAGCACACAAATGTGGAATAAATTATCACTGCTTTTTCTCTGATGTTTAATTTTACATGGGTCTTTTGGAAAAATAATACAGTGTAGAAGCCAATTTTGTTTTATCCAGTAATTGCTTATTTCCTTGGATCATCTCCAGATCAGGTTTCTTTTATAACTTCATCTGCACATACACTAAGGCCTTCAGGAGTTATACTGCTTACAAATCTCATACCAGTTTTCTTAGACATTAGTAATTCGGGGGGAAAAAGTTTCAGAACATTTTAGTGTGGCCTATAAATTCATGTTATCTTTTATGTACCTTTTAAAATCTGGTATTTGCATCATAATCTGTAGAACGAATATTCATTGTCTGAAGATACTCAACTTCTTAATTAAGGTATGTGGTATATAGGGATGCGAAGCAGTTAATTAAAAATTTTTTTTGGTTTTATTCAGTGAATGACACCCAGTCCTACCTGGCAGAAGATCGTGAAGTTTGAAAGTTTCCATCTACTGATGAAAAAGATTCTGTAGAACTTGTCAAATCTTTGAAACTTGGAATATATTGCTTTCATAATATGAAGTTATTGCCTATCTGAAGTACCTAATTTTTCAAGTTTGTAAGTTTATTATGTGGTTTTAACATTGGGTGTTTTGTTGTTGTTTGCCTTGTTTTGACTATGGAAAGACAGTTTAAGGAAAAACTGAATTCTATTAAAACACCTGGTGTGTTTGTACACTGCTGTTTTGAGTATCAGCATGTACAACATGGTGATATTGTCAGTACAGATAATCCAGTTTGGGGCTACATGTTGCTGTGAGTGTCTGCGTGTGTGCGCGCGAGCGTGTGTATACAAAGAAATATAGTGAGGGGAACATCCTTATTCCAAAAGTTGGATTGCTACTTTCATTTTTTCCAGGGATTATATAATGTTCATGATCCACTAAAAAAGTGTTGAGGTAGTTTAAATAGTCCATCCTACTTTTTAATTTTAAGTGATTAAGTTTGGCTTCTTAGGTTGCGTGCTGGTTTGGTAAATGGTTCCCAAATAGCTAGTCTTTGCCTTCTGGGTAAGGATGAGTGAGGTGGGCATGTAGAGTGAAAACAGCTGGAATGCCAGCGGCAAAAAGAAAAAGAACAATTACTTAAAATGTTTTCATTTACTGTTAACATATACTTTTAAAATAAATATTTTGGAGAACTACATTATCACAAAATTATACAAAAGTTTTTACAAGTATATATACATAGGTATCAGAGAACAGACTTGAAATTCACAAGATTATATAGCTATACATATACATTCTCCCATTCTGAAAAACATTCTCAGAAATAATTCCAGAAAAAATAGTTACTGAAGATAATTTTTTAAATGTAAAAATTAGATTTCAATAGTATATTTTAAATGGCAGACTATATAATTACAGAGATCAGATGGATAAATTGCAAAGTAGGACTAAACTTTTTGACTACTGAATTAAAATACAGTTATGTGTTTGTGGTTTTTAAAATTGTTAAGGCAAGAAGTGTCAAAAACTTTAGAATTAAACGGATCACTGATTTTAAAGACTTGATGTACAGTTTTTTAAAAAGTAAAGCTAAAAGTTGGTTAGAAAAAAGCGAATTAATGCAAAAGGGATAATAAAGACTCAAACATTCTGACGACCAAATTAAATGTAACTGTAAAAAAGTTCAGTGACTTCTTCAATCACATCCTCAAGAGAGAATGAAACCACACGTGTCAACCCATGTTTAAGAGCCTGAAACCAGCAGTCTGTTGTTTTGTGGCTGCTGCTCTTCCATTGGGAGAAGAAAGATAACCGTTAACCATTTTGTAAGTTGCACTTTGCTGTGCTGATTCCAAAGTAAAGACAAAGCACAGGAGAGCACAGAGTTGCCAGTGAGGTGTGAGTGAAGTGACCATTCCTCCTCTTCTAAAAAGTGGGCTCCATTGAATTTAAGGCATATATTCATTCCAGTGTTAGTACTTGAGATACTTTTTCACATCTCTGCAGAAGAAATTTGTTTTAAATTGTACTTCCAGAAATTTAAACAGATATTTAGCATCATCGTTTATAAATGTTTTGTAGTTGCAGAGTCATAATTCCACTATAAAAGACATAAGTGGGAAACAAGGGCTGGTGTGGTTTAGTTCAGCCATTTTACAAGGAAATAACATGCTAAGATTGAATTGTTTCTTGCTACTTAATAGACATTGCCTGGAAACATATTTAAGAGTTTAATCTTATCTTTCAGTTGCTATGGTTTATGGGAGAGCTAAGGTTGATTCTAAAACATTTGTTGGGTAATTTGGTCTAAAATGAACCATCATCCAAAAGGATCACAAAAAATGGAAGGGAAAGGGTGTGGCTCACGGTAAGCAGTGCGTGGCACAGGGTGCAGTGTGCTTTGGCATGCGTTTATATACAGAAACAGGGCTAAAGGTGCCAGGAAAAGTCTCAGCTTACAAATTCAGGAGCATAGTCAGATACTGCACACACACATACACACATACCTCTCTGGGTTAAAAAAATGAACAGCAGAATCTCCATGGTCTATGGTGGTTTTTCACCTTCCCTTAGTTTGATGGCTGGTAAAAGCAAAAGAGCAAGGTACTCATGGATGACTCCTTAAATTCAGTACGACCTTCAGTCATGAACTGACAACAGTGAGGTTGGCTTATCAAGTTGGCCACTTGGAAGAAAGAAAATGCAATGGAAGCAATTTTATCCTACTCGCTTAAGGTGAGTAGAGTTTCTATTTGCATTGTGATAGAAATGGAATTTCTCTTTAGCCAAAAACCTGCAAACTTGACTGCCAAAAGTCTCAAAAATGGAGGGAGAGAGGGATTCAGGGGATTTTTTCCCCCTTTAATTTGTTGACTTCTCCTTTATAATATACATGAATAGAAATGTAATATTAGTGTATTCTAAAATTTGCCTTTATTTAGGAGATGTAAATAATGAAAGAATATGATCTTATGTTTCAAGTTTCTTAAACACCTTTAATCAGTTCTTTCAACACAGCTATTCCAAGCTTTAAAACTGACCAGCTTTAATCACTGGTTAGGCTTTCTTGTGATGTAATTTGACCATTTCTGTTTTTAGTATTTACAAGGCGTTGGACATACAAAACTAAGATTTCCAGACACCTGAAGGGGCCTATTATGCTACAAAGATAACACATTAAAATAAAAATTCATAGGACCAATAGAGCATCATAATCTTCTTCACACTTAGAAAAATATATTTTTAAATATCAGTTTACATAATTTCCAATCTTCAGGAAACTACAGATAGGCTAAACAGCATATTCCTGAATGGCAAATACTGATCTTTGGCAGCATTTAAAGTGAATAGGAATAAAGATCTAAGACTTCAGCCCCAACCCACCAAAAAGAAATAGACAAGTTTGAAAAGTGAACTTGTATTCATTCCTTTTGGAAGTTGGCTATGGGTGGCATACATCTAAACAGATTTTCCAATTAAAAAAATAAAAAGCTGTAAAAATATTTTTTCAAGAATTTAAATTGTATAACTTTGTAAATGTGAATTTAACTCTTTAGTTTACATGTTAAACATGTTTCTATTGGAGTATATCTTTAAATATTCAGTATGCTCTCCCACTTAAATACTATTGCTATCTAAAACCTTAAAAAACAGTACACAGTTGGAAATGATTGTTCATCATACTACTTTTTCATTGAGGCTATAATTTTAACTTTTCAAATATAGAAATAACTTCTGAATAAAGATGAAGATGGATAGCTCAAAAATGAAAATGTAGCAATCATATGCTAATAACTTTGGGTTTGTCCCTGTACTACAAATGCCAGGAGAACACTATCATTTATAAAAAGGGCTTTTCTTGATGCTGCAGAAGTAGTATGTCCTCCAGGGAAGCTTGTGTGTGTCTCCTCAGGGAAAATAAGGTTTGCCTTTTAAAAACATCCTTTAGGGTGATGGTGTGTTTCCTTTCCTTACAGAAACATAAGGATATATTTCACTTAAACTGTGAACCACAAACTTTCTAAAAGGAAAGTGTTGTGTTAAAGGATGATGAAAATAATCCGAGTTGGGTTTTTAAGGTTTTGGTTTGCCTCGCCAGCAGGTCTGCCAAATTTGCACACTCCCCCCAAATGGGGGTTGGCTCTCACTATTAAGTATTTATTTTGTCCTTCCTTGAATTGTAATTATCTGGCAGTGTATGGATTACAGTTACTCAGTGCATATAATAAATATTTTGAACTTATCCATCTTATATTTTGATGATTCTGGGCATATATCCCTGTTACAATCTTAAATTAGCACCACTTGACTTCTCCCTCGTCTGTAATTCTGGTTTCTCAAGGCTGTTTTTTCAGTCTTCCCAGCATCCATGTCTTTCAATGGGGCGTGTGTACACACTTCCAGACAAACAAACTGCAACCAGAGGAAACCTGCAGTGAGTTCATTATATTTCTAGGTTTTCAGAACAGTTAAGTTTTTCAATTGAGCTTTCAAACCATACATGTATAAAATTTTTCCTCGTTAACTCCTTTTACTCTGTATTTATACATAGTGCGTGACTCTAAGGCAGTGGTTCTCAACCTTGGCTGCACATTAGAATCACCTGGGAATCTTTTTAAAATCCTGATTTCTGGACCTCATCCTCTGAAATTCAGTTTCAGGGTACAAATGCAACGACCTTTCCCCGTTCAAAGAAAGCTATAACTGGATTATGGGACCAATTGCAGACAGTGATGAAAAGTTTGTGAACGGTTTAAAATCGCAGCCCCGGTGAAAATAGGGCATTTCGATCAATGCAGATATAACACAACTGAATCGGAGGAGGGAATTGTGTAACGGGGGGGTG